CATGAGTACATTGGAATTATTCAAGTTCGAAAAAAGTAAAAAAGGCATTATTTTAATTTTTAAGACAGATTTTTAGAGGGCGCATTGCGCCCTTTCGCGGCCCCCATGGCTACGGCACTGCATGAGGGTCACAATATGACGAGTATCAAGATACAGTAAGTGCAAGCACACACACACATACATATATTAAAAAATCATTATTATCACCTTGTAGAAATGTTTGCAATGATAACACTGATAGAACACTTTTCGTCAAATAAACTTCACAACCTGCATTATTTTCATTTCCTTCGTTTATTCTTTAAAATAAAACAAAAGTACAAATACTGTAAATCATAATTAAAAATTTTAAATGTTCACATTTCTTGGAACAAAAGTTTCTTAATGTTCTAAATTTCCAGAAGAATCTTTTTCACTCATAATAGATTAAAAAATTTCCATGGTTCTTAAAACAAGGTTTTCTTAATGTTCTAAAATCTACAAATGATTATTTTATATGCGGAAATTTTTCTTGAGCAACACTATGTGATCAGCATGTTGTGGCTTTAGAGCACTTCTTTTTGCTCTTACCATATCTCCAGCAGTGGGGAACACATTTTCAGCAGACAGGCTAGTCCCTGGTATGCGTAAGTAATGCTTTACCAATTTAGCTGAAGTGAATATTCCACCTCACGAGCCTTTCATCAGTTAAATGGATTCTCATCCAGAGGTAAAGGTGCTTGCTGCCTAACACTAATTGGTCACAAGTAAATAGACACCTAATTTTTCGTCATTTAACTGATTTATGCTAACTAATTTGTGTTCACAGAGCACTATATAAATGAAAATGGTCCGCACAAATTATCTTGTGCTACAACATGCTTAGAACTCAAGGTTCTCTCGAATTGTCAGATTTTGTTAGAGGAAGGATAATTGGTCAAGCAGATGGTGGAATAAGTCAGCGCTAAATTTTGCAGAATTTGGGAATCCCGCTTTCGACATTCAACAGAATCATCGTGCAGTTCAGGAAACAACTGAGCAGCATCCGGGTCTTCCTGGTCCATCGGAGAGGACAAAAAGGGCTGTCAAGAGGAGCATCGAAATGGATCCCTGATTAACAACTGCAGAAGTAGCTAAAGTTGGTGGGATGAACCTGAAATCTGTTCAACGGATTCTCCACAGATTGGGGTTATCGTTGCAGAGCAGCTAGATGGAAGCCCTTAT